TTACAATTAATTAGTAATAATGTAATTCAAAATCGTTTTTGACGAAAATAAAATCTAAAACCTTTAGATATAAATAAAGAGAAATACAACTAAACCTTAGTAAATATGTGGGAGTAATCTCGGTGCAACTTTTCAAATAATTAGTTCAATTTTCTTTGAGCTGTTTTTTGGATATTTCAATTTTACTCAACTGGTGATTTTTTAATATAATTGAATGAATAAATGGATGAAGTTGGTATTCTGAATGAATGAATGTAGGGTTGGGCATTAAAAAAATAAAAATAAAATACCGACTAAACCATTCGAACCGCACCGACGGCTTGGTTTGGTTTATTTTTTTGTTTTTTAATTTTAAGTGGTTAAACCGAACCTAACCGACCTGAATAGGTATGGCAATCGGTTTCCAAAATTCTTAGAATGCGGTTAACCGAACCAAATCACATATATTTAATTTTATTTTTTTTAATCATAATTAATACGTGCAGTAATATAAATTGTTAGTTATTTACGAGTTACCCGGTTTTCACTACACGAAAACAAAACTTGATTAGTTTAAGAGTCCCTTTGTGCTTTCCTTTTAACAAACACTCATATTGGTGCTACGTTCTATAGCTTTTGGCAGAGAAAATTGTTATGTAATTTTGTGTTCACACAAACCGAGAACCGAACCAAACCAATCCGTCACTGTCGGTTAATCGACCTGATCAATTTTAGCTCCAACTTGATCGGTTTCAGTTTGTCATTTTGGCTCAACCAACTAAATTGATTTGGTTTCAATTTTGGCTCAAAACCAACCCAAACCACCCACGCCCACCCCTAAATGAATGAATGAATTTGGTATTCTGAACCCTGCAAATATGGACCAGTCTGCAGTTCTTACAAAATGACTTGTCATTTATCACCTGTTGCTTTCTTCTTGAACCAGCTCTTTCCAATTATTGAACATATGAATAAATGGAAACTTTTATGTGTTCGGAATACAATTAAGTACAATAAGTGTCATAATACAAGTGAATAGACACTTTAAGAGGAAAAAAAGAGAAAAAAACATTTTTCCACTTGTATTTTAACATTTGATGTACGGGTCGTGTTACCAGTACAATGAAAAAAATTTTAATAAATAAAAGAACTTGAAATGTGAGCCCTTGATTGGTGGAGAAACTTCCACAGAATCCTCCTCTCAATCAAGCAGACACGCCTGGTGGTGACTTTTTAGGAGAGGAAATGGACCTCTCTATATTTGTAGCATTTGCCTTCCCCACTAAGTAACAAAATTTGATATTAATAGTGCAAAGCACTAAGCAATGTCTTCAGTTGAGAGATCAGGTGCAAAGGTTCAAATCAAGGGATAGCTATAGCAATACGCAAAGGGCAAAAGCGTCTTGTCACAATAGCAATTAACTTGATAATTTGACAGGTTTTAAAAGGATCGAGTTCCCTCTTACTATTATTATCGGGTGGTATTCTTCTTCATTTATAAGTGAGAAGTCTTAGATTCGAATCTTGTAGATGACAAATTCGATACCAAATTTGATTGTCCATTGTGTGGCTTAACCATACTCCCCCTCTCTTAATATAAAATATATCGTTGTACTAAAAAGAGAGTATGCGGCTGGCTGCCACAAAACCAACGACAAACCTCAAAAATCAACAAGTTGTTTCTATCACGAGTGTCCATTCCATAAAAAAGAATCACTAACGTCCATGCTTTCACCACGCAAGAGTTTGGGGGTATATTCAATTAGGATTTTGAGAGACTTCTATAAATTTATGAATCCATAAATTTTTAAGGAGTTTAATTAATTTGTAGAAATTCAATGTAAAATTTTAATTCAATTCCCTCACCTTAGGGGGTGAGATGAGATTTGTGATTGCTTAAATTACACTATGAAATCTCTCAAATTCTGTCGAATTCCTTATCCTTTTAAAAATCTTTAAAATCAATTCTAAAATTGAATACATTTGAAATGTTATAAACTTATTTAAATCCTCATTGAATACACTCAAGTTTCTAAGGATTATAATAAACTATCATAACTGATTGAATACACTCTGAATTTTAAAGAACCACTTAAAATCCTAATTGAATACCCGTACATTTATTAAAAGAATTAAAATCCTTTAAAATTCAAATTAAATACAACCCCCGGTTCTCATTTCTCCTGTGGATGAGAAAGGATCCCCGCCGAATCCTCTTTGTGAGGATCCCAGGGATCCTCTAATTACATCCATTCATTGTACATCGTGCATCCAGTTTTTGTCAGGTACTATTTATATTCAATTTTAAATAAAAAAATTTATAATAATTTCTAATCATATGATGTAGGATGAACAGAAGTAATTTGAAGATCTGCATAATCCTAACAAAGAAGATCCAACGAGGATCCTCATTCCGTGCGGATAATCTCACATGAGCTCCACCTCCATCCACCAATTTAAAAACATTTCAAATCACCATAAAAGGATCTAGCAAAACAAAAACAAAAATCAACTTAAAAAGAAAGGGTCCAAATTAAGAAAAAAACAAAACATCGAAAATTTCGAACAGGTTAAAACTGAATCGCACCAAACTCTACTCTCTCCCTCTCTCTCTCTCTCTCTCTCAACTTCACTGGAAATGTCCTTGTATGTTATAACGGGACAACATTGTAGCAGTGAACGAAAACAAAAGTGGTTGACCCCTAATAAAGGATACCAATGATGCTTTATTCCCAAGATCTTCCAATACGACCATTTTCAATACGATATTGCTTAAGGCCTTGATGTGAAATAACAGCAATAGTCTTCAAATTTTCCTATTTTTTTGGGCTGCAAAGTAATCCGAATTATTATGCCTCCTAAGCATAATCGCTTCTCGACTTCTAACTTGAATAACTCAACCGAAAAGAATTTTTCCACATCAGCTTTAACAACACTCACATTCAACGGTGTAGAACACCATTCATCCAACAACCTTAATTTTACGGACCGATGGTGTAATATTAGGTACAAACCGCAACATTCGAACTTTCTTATCAACAATTGTCGTTTATAAAATTATACACATATAAATGGTTCCTGTAAATATACACATGAATTGTTCCTATTTAATGTAGGCACTTGTTGGCATTTACCAATTGGCGTTATATTCACAATTTCACATAAAATCAATCGGCCGAACTGAGAAATGTATCGATGAGGTAAATCCGAAGAATTCCAAAATTGTTATGTACATCTACAGCCTGTAAAGAGGAGGTGTTGTATGGCCTCAGAGGGACAACTGCACGGTGCGGGCAAAAACACCATATGAAATCATGTGCCTTTCTGCTCGATTCTTGCTTATTGGTGATCAACCTTCCCTTAATAATCATTAGCTGGTAAAATCTTAGCGGCATCATGCCACAACTTTCGAAAACCGTTCTTTTTCTCTTTTAATATCACCAACCACGGATGCCGATGGCAAAGATAGTGATTAGATTGAAGTTGTAACAAGGTAACCGTATCGGAAGGAGCGGCTGAATTGACTCTTTTTCACTGAGAGCTAATACTTGTTGGGTATTTGGTTTCGCATTGCTTCACGCTCAAAACATAAGCCAGCTACGTTTGAATTAAATATGGAGACGGAAGCATGATCTCTTTTCTTACGTCCCCATGTTCCTTCCATGTGGTTGGGGTGTAACAAAGGAAAGAAAGGATTGGAGTTTCTCCCGCTTTTGAGATAATGAGCTTCGTTGTAGATAGGAGAATTCTAACGCAGGTGCATAAAAAAAAGCACATATACTCTAACCAATGTAGCTTCGAATTCATTGAGATGGAGATAACTTGCGAGAAAACAAAGATACTATTATTTAAATACTATAATTCATTATATAGTTAGACCCCAAAATAGACAAATCATAAAAAGTTAAAGAAAGGTTTTAAGCCCAAGATTAGCCTTTTTGCCAACCAAAAGAAAATACCCCAAGTGCCTCCTCAGCGTGCTCACCCAATAAAATGGGAAAGGAAGAAGGAAAAAGGAAACATCAAACATCTCTCTCAACTCTCAAATCCAAAAATGAACAAAACAAACACCATTTCAATCTAGCCGTTTAAATACCGGTGCGAGCTGTATGCGTTATGAGAACACTCAAAAATCTTTGGTTTCACCTATACGTATATATTGAGTAGTAGCTTTCAGCTTTAACCATAGGGTACTGTGCTTGCAATGCACAGAAACAGCGAGCTTGTATTATTATTTGATGACACGAATTGATACAACACACCTCATCTGATTTGCAGAAGATCCAAAAATAATTCACAGGATAAAGCATCCAGTCTTTAATATCCTAAGTACCAACAGGACTGTAACAAACAATGAATTAAACAAAATCAACAAACTTAATCATTATTTTATCTTGTGACACCTGTAAGTTTTTGAAACAAGTTTTTAGTTCATACATGTATGATGTATCGTAGCCAAGTCATCCAATTAACCATCGTTTGGTCTAATCTCATTTTGTAGTAACTGATTATATATAGCTAATCACGTTTCGTCTAGTAACACTTATAAGCTCGTTGAGAAGGCTCTGATTTCAAATTCAAAAATGCTATTCATCCCACCTATTCGTACCATCATGTCATCATATGTATCCTCTTTCTAATAAAGATGAGACCACATGCTATTCGTACCATCATGTCATCATATGTATCCTCTTTCTAATAAAGATGAGACCACATGCCTTGGTGAGATCCACATATGCTGGTGAGACCTAACTCTATTAAAAAAAGAAAAACGACCCACATACATTGGTGAGACCCAAACTCTAGTAAAAAAGAAAAAACTAATGAAAATAACTTAAAACCTTTAAATTTTTATCAAAAATAACAAAAAGATGTTGTAAATGAATAATATTAGGAGTGGCTTTTTAAAGTAAAATTGTCATTTTTCGTTAAACACTTCCTTAAAAAAAAGTACAAATAATGGTACAAGTGGTAAGTGTCGCATTGCTTATATTTCGAAAATGTAAATCAAACCTAGCAAGTGAACATTGGGTCTAATTAAACCCAAATTGTGAATAATTAAAGAAAACATAACATACAAAATGGCCACTTTATACCTTCATTTGACCCCAAAATGTCAAAATTAACATATCCCATGCAAACACCAAATTACACAACACAACAAGTACACAACCATTAACACATAATTAGATCATAAAACAGCAGCAGATAAAGTATAACAATAAACTAATTAAATTTGATTAACCTCTAATTAAGTTGGGGACTGAGTCAAACCCTTGCTGGTGTTATACCTGCATATCACCTTGCACTTGACTACACTCCCATACACATAGAACCCCGGCGCCACCATGATCCTCACCACCGCCGGAACCAACTTCCTGGCCTTGTCCCCGCCCATGTCCTCCATGTAAACCGGATCGAACCCGGCCCCTTTATCGACCCGAAACACCGGCAACCCCGGGTGAACCGAATTCGCCAAAAGGTGAACCAACCATACACTCTTTGAAGCCCCGAAAAATGCCTGCAGCAGCTGTTCAGGCCACGCCCGATTCCAACCCAACATAGCCACAATCTCACTCATTTTCCGATCACAAAACCCACTAAACTCCTCACTAAAATGCTTAGTCCCCTTAATCAAAACCTCGTCCCACGTTAATCCCCTGAGCACGTTAAACGACGTGTAGTTCGCCTCGGACCGCTCGACCGGGTTCAGAACTTGGACAACCGAGTGTTTCTGAAACCCGGGGGATTCGAACTCGTCGAAGAACGCCCGGTTCAGCAGAGCCTCCAGGTAAAACAGCAAGCTTTTCGGGTTTTTCGAAATCGAGAGCTTCACGTCGTACGGTTGGAGAAGCCCGGAGATTTTCTCGTTCACCTTTCCGAAACCCATGTGGCGGAGCTGCATCGTGAGCGACCGGCTCAGCCCCCTGATCGAATTCCGAGCCTCCGAGACGGAAACCAGGAAATTCTCGACAACCATCTTCTCGACGGCATCGTTTGACCCTGACCCGCCGAAGCTCCGCCGCCGGTTGATGTGGGTTTTGGTCAACTGGTACGGAGATGAATTGCTGCTGCTGCATTCGTCGAGCCCGGATTTCAAACCATGGCAGTAGATTTCGAGCTTGTTGAGCTTTTTCTCCAGCTCGGCCATGGAGTATTTGAGCCTCGAGGCTTCCAATTGCGCTTCTTCTCTCTTCCTCGTAGCGTGAACTAGTTTGTGCGAAAGCTCCGCCACCGCTATCTTCCACTGCTCCTCCCTCGCCGCCGCAGCGTAGTCCATCGCCGTCGTCGGCGTTTTCGGACTCTTCCGAGTAAACGAAGACAAAATCGACCTGATAATGCCGTTGGGGCTCGCCGTCGACAACGACAGGGACGTCCTGTTTTCGAGCGGAACGACAGAGATCTTTTCGCGAGCATGTGGTCGGCACTTGTTGCAGGACACCGACCCGTCGGCTGCTTCCTCGGTTTTAGCCGACTCCGCAGACTCCGACCGTTTTCTGCTGTGGCGTCTGCCGTTTTTGTGATCGGAAGGCGTCGGCTTTGGAGTGGTAGCAGTACTGGTCGCTCCTCTGTCCGTTGACTCCGTACAGAGATCATCTTCCTGTTCCTCTTTATCACACTCTTGAATCTGCAAAAACCAACGGACAAACAAAAACAAACAAAACATTAAAAACTAATTAATGGGTTGTTTTAGTTTCTCATGAAAGATCAAAACTTTATTGTTTTCCCGAGAAACAAACAGATGACAGAATGGAGGGAGGACTTACGGGGGTGAAATGGGAGGGTTTAGGAGGAGGGGGAGGGGGAGGTGGGGACTTGGAGGAGGGCGGCGGCGGCGGCGGAGGACGAGGAGGAGCCATGGAGTTCTTTTTGCAACTTTGTTTTGGTACGGGATTTTGGGGTCACGAACACATCTATATACGTGGGATTTTTCTTTATCCTGAATAGTGAATCCTGAGTGTTTTTGTTTTGTTTCATTTTGTTTATGATTAAATTTTCGTCGGGCAGCGATGGTGGTGGGGCGGAGGTAAAGCTTGGTTCCCACGCGCGGTCAAACAACAAGGATAGTTAGTTCCAACCATTTATTTTCCCTCTCTTTTTATTAACGGCACAATCGCTTTCGGATATGACACTAATTTAAAATTTTAAGCTGATTAATTGTTGCTTGAGAAACTGGACCACGATGGAATTGCTCCCAATTCATGCTTCCCACACTGAAATTGACGGTTCAATGAAAACAATAACAAGTGCTACGTGTTAAATGCAATATCATCGTAGGAGTTCGATCACAATGCTACGTGTTATTTAGTTGTATAAGTTGTTAACGCTCAAAATTGTAAGGCTACAAACTTAATTAAATTATGCTAAGGGAAATTTTATTTAAATCCATGCAACCTCTTTTTACATCAAATTTAAAATTTTGAATGTTAATTGTCTATTTTATCCTATTGCATAATTACTATTAAGTACAAAATGAAATTAATAATAAAACTCAAATTTATTAATAAACCCAAACACTATAATTAAATCCTACGATCATTCTTTGTTTATCCTACGTTCATTCTGGCTAAAACCCTAATAGCTCTCATGGATAGGACTAGGTTTCACCACTACAAACATGATTTTTCTTCTTGTAAAGACTATTGGTAAACTTTATTCTCCGTTTGAGATTAAATCTCATTCTACTTACAAAAACGTGAACGCGAAATTCGTTCAATTCAATCAATCAGAAAATTATCCCAATGATATGGTCTAATGTTCTTACTGATGACTAACTTTTGATTGATACGCTTACATGCAACTTACAAAAACGTGAACACGAAATTCGTTCAATTCGCCGTCAAGGATCTTCCTAGTTCGCTTGAGGTTGGCGTGTCGGTGGCTCAGGATAAGAGATTAAGTAGTAGTGGGGTGGTGAAGATAGAGGAAGAGAGGCGACGATGCGGTGGTGAAGGAAGGTTTGGGGGGGGGGACGAGTCGATGGGGAAGATCTGGGTGTGGGTTTTGTTTTTTTTGGTTTTTTGGTTTTTTTTAATTTAAATTTTTTAATATTTAGTTAATATTTAATTTATTTTAAATATTAAATTATTTTTTTTAATAGAAGGTGTGTCCCGCCTCAAGCCACGTTAGCATTGATAGACAACTGACGGAATGTATGAAATTGTAATAAATTCATAGATGAAGTATGATATTGACATTTTTTAAATATGAGGTATGAAATTGTGATTGACCCAATAATTAAGATAATTTTGTGTAATTTACCTAAAATTTAATTGTTGTAAAGATTTATAAGTTCCTTATATGTAAAATTTAACCGTTGATTTGTTGAACGGCTCAATAATAATTATTTTGAAAGGAGATAGAGTAATTCAGAAGCTGGTGGATTCCAAAAAAATCCCGCAGCCGAAAGCCTGAAAACCTTATACTAATTAGTACTCACTTTCACATTGCACATACTCTGTAGAATTCTTGATACATTAATTTTTGTTGGTCCACCTGATGTGATGAGTTTTCGAGCGTAAATGAATTAGTAGTAACAAATGCTAATTAGTGTGTCTTTTGAAGTTTGAATCATTCAAGGCAATTAGAACCCTAGCTAGGTTAGGTATATATCAATTCATCCGTTCGCATATCATACGTATTTCCAAAACAAGGAAAACATTGATTAGAATTTAGAGAGTTTGCAACTTTGCATTATGAATATGTCATAGCATATCATTCACATGAACTAGCAAGTTTTTATTGATGTATTATGTTTGATAAGCACATCATTTTTATCATCTGACATGCTCTTGTTTATTCATGTTCGTTGTTTTTGTTTGATTTATTGAATTTGATAGCAAAGAGTAGTGTATAAGAAGTTAAAAGGAGTGTCTAAATTTGATAAATGTTTTGTTGTCAAATATTCAATAAATTATGATATAATCAAAGTTTCATTTCACTATGTAGATTCTTGTTCGAATGGCTAGCATCTAGTTAATTTAATGACGAGAAAAACTCAAAACCGAAGAGTTTCTTGCTGTCTAAAAAATGAATAACCAACAAGATCATGTTAAAGCATAATACGGAACTTTGATGATTGACCATTTGAAACAAGAAGTTTTGTGACAAATTTTTTTTCTTTATTTTTGACACGAAACGTCACTGTAATAACGAATGGTAAGTCCTCGTTTTTCAAACATACTCATGCATGCATGCAAACTATAGATACTTATACTATGGCATGTATAAGGCCTCGTTGATGTTTAATTGTTTATAGTTGGGTTCTTATTAATTACATGCATTTGCATTCCCACGAAATTGAGAGTGAACTTGCTCTGTGTCGGGTCAAAGATAAGGAGAAGATAGACAGGCGTGAGGCATGGGGAATTGGGAATTGGAAATTGGGAGGTGAGAAAACTACACATCAAGTGATTGATCCAGTACTCAATCAATCGAAGTTATTTATGACCATGCATTTTGTAAGTTGGTCGCATTTAGTGCTATCTTAAATTCCCTCCTCTTCACCCAGCTACCCACATCTTTTGGGCCTTTGATCTGGTCTTTCTTAGGTTATCTCTAACAGAAGGATTAATTGTAATTTTGTATTGTAAAAAATTATTTTTAAATAAATAATATCATATCATACTCATGTATTATTTCTTACCAAATGGATTAAATATAGCATTCTTAATAATTTATTAGTTTTTAATTTATACTTTAAATTTATTGGTTAGTTCAATTAAACTACCTATAGATGTTTTCAAATTAGCTTTGAATTTGAATAAATTATTGCAACTGAGGAGTTAAACCCAAAGAAACGTGTTAAGATAAGGGTTATGTTTGGCCAATCTAATGCCCTTTTAGGCAAATGATAATCTGATATGCTCCATAAAATTGTATCACAGTCATTGATTAGAGACGAATTTTTAAACAAATCGGATCATTTTTTTACTTTTATATCCTTATACCTTATCATTGGAGGCCGTTAAAACCTTACCGCCAATGTGAAGTAGTCATACAGATGAAAGAAAGAATGGCAGAGAGAGAGAGAGAGAGAGAGAGAGAGAGAGAGAAGAGAGAGAGAGAGAGAGAGAGAGAGAGAGAGAGAGAGAGAGAGAGAGAGAGAGAGAGAGAGAGAGAGAGAGAGGTGGTGTGTGCATGTGAAGTTAATAAATGAGACAGCGTAGGGGCTGAGGAGTCATTGCCAAGCGGAGGAGATGGGAGTGGTCCATGCAATCGTGCTCAATTTCTGCCTTAAAACTTAGCCGCTGACTCGTGTCATCTGTTCCCTATCAAGTATCACGCGCAGCTAACCCTGTGAAATTCCGTTCTTGGATTTCACTGTTATCATCTACATATTTGTATTATAGAGATTTTATATTATTTCTCGAGAATTTATTTTAATTTGTTGAATTTAAATTTTAATTAAATTAGTTATTAACGTTTGAAGTTTGGGGCATTTAAAAAATAAATAGAAAATCTGGAATTCTCTTATCAATTATGGTGTGCCACATTGGGTGGTCCAGATTTAATGAAAAGGAAAATGGATGGTGCAGATGCAAAGGAAAGGACTTGAAAGAGGAGTGGAGAGCATGGGCACTGCCCAATCAGAAATTAGGAAAGGAGGAAAAGGAGGGAAGAAAAAAAAAAGAAGGAAGAAAGGGAGAAACGGGTCCGTACGACCCGTGGGTTTGCCGGCCACCCATCTCCATTGGCCGACAGTTTTCCGACGAATTTCTCAAACAACCACTTGGAAACACTCCCTTGGCCTTCCCTCTACATGTTTCTTCCCAAAAATCAAAGGTTTTGGGCTTGAATTAGGGAGAAACCGCACTAAGGGGGCGGCGGGTGTGTGTGTTCAAATCACCCAAATCCAAAATGTTTACACCCAATTACCACCACATTTAGACTCCCCTTGAGGTCTAGAACAAAGCCCAAGCAATGGTGGAGGCGTCGAAACAAGTTTGGAGGTTGAATCGGAGCACCCCAAATTCTAGGGTTCTTACGGGTTTTAGCAAAATTGGAGCTCTTATCGACCAAGTTGGCCTTGGTCACAGGTATGAAAGTTGTTCTAATCTTTGAGATCTTCATTTCTGTAATTTTTGGTAATTTTTAAAAATAGTTGAATTTTCCGGCAAATCGGGGCGGCCGACCGCCACCCGCGGCAGCGCGTGCGGCGGCGGCCCGGCCAGCGGACCGACGATGTCCTTTTAAGTTCAATTAGATGCCCTGATTTCATAACTGACATCCTTATGTTATGGTTTGATTGTTTGAACCTAATTTCATTACGATATGTGGTTAGGTCAAAATGTGATTCGACGATCCGACCGTTGGATCATCACCAATCTTTAATGCGTCATAGAATGTAATATTTAAGGATGGTTGGAACTGACGGATTGGGAATCCGACGTACGGATCTTCCTGATTTGGATTTCTAAGTTTGTACAATCAAACATTGGTCGCCACTTGAAATTGTAATTAGCGGGGATCCGACCGTCGAATCATGATGAAATTTTGGTAGGTTGTTTTAGAAGCATAATTTGGACTTTAGAAGGTTACGGATCTTAAATCCAATGTGCGGATCTTCCATATTGAATTGTGTGGAATTGTGGATCCCACCTTTGACCGAGAGTTGACTTTTGGTCAACATGTCTCCAAACGTTCTTAATACTAAATTTAGTACTATGAGAGACTTAAGTGAAGTCTAGTGGACCTCCATTGGTTGGAGAGTGACTTGAATATTTGTGATATGATTATTACTTTAATTGTTTATGTTAAAATCATTTATGAATATGAATTCGTCTTATAAATATGATTTATATTGAAATGTGATTTTCATATATTTAGCCATAGACTTATGTTTATTAAACATGATGTGGCTTGTGTACTGGTGATAATGGTGAATATGTGTGTTTAATTATTTCTAGTAATGCGAATGATAAGTATGATAGATTTTATG